ACCTCAGGGCCCCTGTGCAAGAATCTGTTAAGGTCCCCCCACCCGCTTTTTTAAAGCAAAGATGGCTAATAGGATCCTCACCTGCCGTGCAAATCATATGATGCTTTGCCAGCTATGGATTTGCTATTTACCCATTCTTGCACAGTTCTATCTGTCTCTGTGAATGTAAGTGCGTTTTTGCATGGAGTATATTTGTGTGAATGTTTGTTTATTTGTATATAATGCTGGTGTTTGAACGAGTCTGTTTTTTGTGCAGTGTTGGCATTTAAATGCAGAGGTGTGTGTAGTGTTAATGTTTGAATGAAAATGTTTGTTTTTTATGTAGTATTAGTGTATGAATGCAGGGGAGTGCTTGTGATGTTGGCACGTGAATGTAGGGGTGTGTTTGTATTGGCGTTTGGATGCAGAAATATTTTTGTGTACAGTGTTGGCATTTTAATGCAGGGGTGTGTGTGTAATATTGTTGATTGCATGCAAATGTGTTTTCGAAAATACATATGCACTGTCCTGCACACATACAGGCAAATATTTACAGAGATTTACTCTGAGAGATATACACACATACACAGTTAGATTGACACATACTGACATGTAGATACAAATTCACACACAGATCCAGAAACCATGACACACATGTACCGATACATACACAAATACTGACATACATGTAAAGATGCATATACCGACACTGCCTGCAACACTCATTGTACATGGAAATGATATATACGAAATTGGTCAATTGGAGTTGCGTACACAGCTATGGCCAAAGTGCAGCCTCAAAGACTTATTTATTAAATTTTGAATTATGGCCAGCCACAGCAACATTAAACTGGCTAAATTAGTGATTTATAAAGCTGCAGAGATATACTACCTGGGAGTGAGACACTGAAATGTTTAAGAGTACCACAACCACTGTAATACAGCTGCTATATACCAGTGCAAACAAGGCTGCTGTAAAACATCTCGCCAGTACAACCAATCAAGAGACGGATTTCTAAGTATTTCATGAAAATATGTTTTGTAACTTTTTATTCATTAAATTTAAAGGGATACTCCACACTCCATAAAGATCTATCTATATATACATATATATATATATATATATATATATATATATAACCAATGTTACATGAAATACTGTAATACTACCTACATACCTGCAAACAACACACACACACACACTCACTTACCTAAGTCCAGATGCTACACAATCTAACATTGAAGCTGGGGGTAGCTATAGGTGTGAAACAATCACTAAAACCGTGTCATAAAGCAATCAGTAGAAGGTACTAAATAACGTTTACACTACTTTTTAAATTTCTGTTACCCCATGATTTAATATATTAACAAGTGGATCGCAAATATACAGTATTGCATTCCATGGCAATACAATCTTCTTCCTCCTTAACAAGCATGGACAGCTTACAATTAGTCCATACACGTCATCTACTGAGGACAGAATTGTGCCCATGTGACGTTTGGAACGCACAATGCCTCCCAAGGGAGAAACACACCGGAAATGACGAGCTCAAAATAACGAACCGGAAATAAAGGGAAGGCGGCGGATTTAAAACAAAGGGAACTCAGAAGAGCATTTTAACCAGCTAAAGAAGCCTCATAATAGGGACAAAATGTGTTTTGGACTATTTTGGACATTTTAGGACTATACGGTCCATATATCACATGAGGCTTTTACCCATTTGATTTGTTTATTTGATTTTATAACACCAATAAAATTGCATTTTTTGGAAGAAAATCTCCAGCATCCTGTGTCCAGATTGCCAGACTGCCAGAGGTATACACAGAGAACTGGGGTTTATAGGAGTTGGACCTTCTTTAAGTGTCCTTCTACGTTTTCCATTCGAGCCATATGATGCTAATGGCTCTCCACTTGTGAGTGATACTCCTAATTTCATATATACTTGTTCAGACAATATTGCACTATTTTCTGCTGTATTTTATCTTCACAGATTTGTATTGTAACCGACCGTTTTGCCCACAAGAGGTTAAAAACCGTTTAGGCGATATTCCCCCTTTTCCAGCTGCACAGACAGCTACTGCATGCACCAATCTCCCGAACTGCAAACCCACAAATTCACCAACTCCCGAACTGCAACTAAGGGAATACTCGAAACTCCCGAACTGCATACCAAGTAGCACTCCAAACTCCCGAACTGGAGACACACGAATAGCTGCTAGCAGACGAACAGGAAAAGCCCCCAAGCGGCTTACACTCCTGGCAATCAGTCTCTAACAGCATACAGTAAATCCTCCCCCCAATAATGAGACAACACTTCACTTTGAGGGTTAAGCAGGAACTGATTTACTGGGGCTAACTGCCCGGCTTTTATGCAGGTCTCCCACCTGGTGGACACTCCCCAAGGGGACCAAATGGGAGACTGGGACACAAAGGGTAAAAGAACCAATCACAGACTTACACATTTCAACCATCCCACAATGCATCACAATCCCTCCTCTCTGCCCTGGAGATAATTGGGAAGTAATTCAATTATCTCCAAAGACAGAGGCAAAACTCCATTAACCACATGGCAGAAAACAAACAGTAAAAGACATAAAATTACCTACAGTTACATTCAGTATATAAAACATATACGTTCTACATATCCCCAGATAGCTCATGTCTGAGCGCACATTATTAAGCGAATGGCGCTCAGACCACACGAATACATTTTAATCGCCATGGAGCCAAATTCTTTACACAGTCAGTTTCATGCGAATGGGATTCCTATCTGGGGCACAACACACTCAAACAAAACTACCGAACACCGGGCCGTTCGTGCACTTCCACCGGCAGCTTTAGCGGTGTTCACGCAAAACTGTGTTCGATTTCAGTTCCATGAATTAAGCGTCGAACACCGCTGTGCATTTGCATGTTTAAAATGGCCGCCACCTCGTGTTCGTGATACGAATGGCGGCCACACAGCATTCATCAATTAAGCTGCGGTTAACCGCAGCTTCAGGGAGGTTAATTGCCGGCACACTCCAGCTCCCAGGTGGTCTATTCATTCATGCGGTTGTTCGGTAGATTGAATCTACCGAACACCCGGCAGAAAATCACGTATAAGTCTTTTCTGCAGGGAAAAAAGATGTCTTTTAACATGGGGCCATAGTCCAAAGGCAGCAGGTGAGCAACCAGGCTTCTCCAGTGTTCAGTGGCGAGGTTGGTTTTGCCACATGTATTATACCAGTTCCACCTATTGTATGTACAGTTGCAAGAAAAAGTATGTGAACCCTTTGGAATGATATGGATTTCTGCACAAATTGGTCATAAAATGTGATCTGATCATCATCTAAGTCACAACAATAGAAAATCACAGTCTGCTTAAACTAATAACACACAAAGAAAGAAATGTTGCCATGTTTTTATTGAACACACCATGTAAACATTCACTCCTAGACTAATGACATTTCCAAGAGCTAATTGGAGTGAGATGTCAGCCAACTGGAGTCCAATCAATGAGATGAGATTGGCGGTGTTGGTTACAGCTGCCCTATAAAACACACACACCAGTTCTGGGTTTGCTTTTCACAAGAAGCATTGCCTTATGTGAATGATGCCTCGCACAAAAGAGCTCTCAGAAGACCTATGATAAAGAATTGTTGACTTGCATACAGCTGGAAAGGGTTATAAAAGTATCTCCAAAAGCCTTGCTGTTCATCAGTCCATGGTAAGACAAATTGTCTATAAATGGAGAAAGTTCAGCACTGCTGCTACTCTCCCTAGGAGTGGCCGTCCTGTAAAGATGACTGCAAGAGCACAGAATCCTAGAGTGTCAGCTAAAGACGTACAAAAGTCACTGGCAAATGCTAACATGCCTGTTAGCGAATCTACAATACGTAAAACACTAAACAGGAATGGATTTCATGGGAGGATACCACAGAGGAAGCCACTGCTGTCCAAACAAAACATTGCTGCATGTTTACAGTTTGCACAAGAGCACATGGATGTTCCACAGCAGTACTGGCAAAATATTCTGTGGACAGATGAAACCAAAGTTGAGTTGTTTGGAAGAAACACACAACACTATGTGTGGTGAAAAAAAGGCACAGCACACTAGCATCAAAACCTCATCCCAACTGTGAAGTATGGTGGTGGGGGCATCATGGTTTTGGGCTGCTTTGCTGCGTCAGGGCTTGGACAGATTGCTATCATCGAAGGAAAAATGAATTCCCAAGTTTATCAAGACATTTTGCAGGAGAACTTAAGGCCATCTGTCTACCAGCTGAAGCTCAACAGAAGATGGGTGTTGCAACAGGACAATGACCCAAAGCATAGAAGTAAATCAACAACAGAATGGCTTAAACAGAAGAAAATACGCCTTCTGAAGTGGCCCAGTCAGAGTCCTGACCTCAATCTGATTGAGATGCTGTGGCATGACCTCAAGAAAGTGATTCACACCAGACATCCCAAGAATATTGCTGAACTGAAACAGTTCTGTAAAGAGGAATGGTCAATGATTACTCCTGACCGTTGTGCACGTCTGATCTGCAACTACAGGAAACGTTTGGTTGAAGTTATTGCTGCCAAAGGAGATTCTACCAGTTATTAAATCCAAGGGTTCACATACTTTTTCCACCTGCACTGTGAATGTTTACATGGTGTGTTCAATAAAAACATGGCAGCATTTCATTCTTTGTGTGTTATTAGTTTAAGCAGACTGTGATTGTCTATTGTTGTGACTTAGATGATGATCAGATCACATTTTATGACCAATTTGTGCAGAAATTCATATCATTCCAAAGGGTTCACGTACGCTTTCTTGCAACTTTATATTTTATGTATCTCTCCCCACTCTGGTTGTCTCAGGGTGCATGGGGAGAGATGCATGCAGAGCTGGGAGACACTGTCAGAGTTCCAGCAGACAGAAATACTGGCCCCCTGAATTGCCGGTATTTCTGCAATACCGGCACAGGCCACAGAGCCTCAAATACCAGCTGTGCCGCTAAAAAAGACGGTCAGGTGGAAACCCTGACTATAGAGGTGAGGCTCTCTTCATTTTTCTGCTTTGTGAAGTAAATTGCTACAGCACCATCCATTCACTTGTCTTAGATTTTAGTATATGTACTAATTATTTTTTACATTTATTTATTTCTAGCGTAGTGTAGTGTGCCTTTACATGTAAAATAAGCACACAGAAGCTGTGTCTTTAAGGGGTTAGTAAAACGTCCAAGCTATTAAACCAAAGGAACACATCTAAGCTCATTTAGATATATACATGTGTACAACAAACACACAGCACATGGTATTTCTATCTAGTAATTCCATGACATGAATGGGTTAAGCTCTGCCAAAATGTGTAAATGAATGCTGAGTGAGTTGAAGAGATTAAAAAGAAAAATCTTCTTTATACAAGAAACTCATTTATCCCACAGGGAAAAATGAAGATGACTGATATAAACCATAACCTTTCCTATTTCTTTTGGGGCTGAAATAAACATAATAGAAAGGTGATTTCATGTGATAAATAAACATAGTTTCTTATAAACAATCAGAAAAACAAAAATAAAGACAGTTAAAATAGTCTCCTACAAAGTTCAGTATATAGCACTGCTAATATTTATGGCATCATTTTTAACAACAGCTACTGTTAAAAATGTTATAGTACTGGAAGCTTATGTTATAGTACTGGAAGCTTATGAATTATTCACTAAGGGCACGATTATAGGAGTTGACCTCATTGTAAAATCTCACCTGAATATATATTATTCTAGAAAGGAAACCTCCACAGAGAAAATCAACCAGTCTGAAAATAAAACTGTCTATATTCACACTGTGTATGCCACATATGACATATATCATATATTCAGGATAGAGTTTACACATTTAACTGATCGGTACATGATTTACAGAGTACTCATGAATAGATATAATTTAATTCCATGTGACTAGTTATATAAATGCTTATCAGGAGGGATTAAATCAATAATCACATCTAATCATGTTTGAAGTGCTAATAGTAAAGGTGATGAAAACAAAATATATCTGCTGTGGAATGTAAATGAATATATTGATTTATTATACTTTACACAAATAATAAAAAAAAGGCTGGAGATAAATTAATAATGCATGGAACCTGACATATGGTCTATATGTTATATTTGTACTTCATATAAAACCCATGACACCAATACTCTTATATGGGATATTAAAGGAACTCTTTAACGTGAAAAATAAATATACTTGTTTTTAACTTTAGAGGGTTTATACAGTGTGGGCCAAAATTCAGAGTAAGATTTGACAGGTAAATAGCTTATTTGTTAGTAGTTAAAAAAAAAAAAAACATTTTTGTTGCAAGGTACTTATTATAACCAAGTCTTTGGGAATTCATCATGGGTTGTTTCGTAAGGAACAGCGAGTAAAAATATTGGAACTTTATTTTCAAAATGGAAGGTCCATTATTTTGATGCAAAAAGCTTACCGCTGCCACGTGAATGTAAGAAATTGACCTTTCAGCTCCCAATTACTTCCTGTGGGGATATCTGAAGAAATGGGTGTATGTGAACAACTACAATAAAATAAGTGTATATATGGTGAAAAAAACAATATAAGACAAAGTGCTACAATCACCAGCAATGTGGGTCACTCCACCTCACATAAATAAATGGTTAAAACAGTAAAGAATGGTGAGAGCACAGAGAAACAATAATTACCCTTATATCCAATATAAAACCTGTAAAAACACAATGGGAAAAACAGGCATAGGGTAATAATGTACAAATAATATATGTATGAGTAAATACTTGAATAAACTCACATATTCATGAGCCACTTAATATGGAAGCTGGCTCAGACTAGGAACATAACTGGGAAATAAAGATCGAAATAGAAAAATCTTCTTATTCACATTTAAAGGTATATCGGGAGAATAAGAAGATTTTTCTATTTCGATCTTTTATTTCCCTTTTAAATTTATTCCCTCTTCTTTTGCCTCTCTTTTACCTTTTTTAATCCTTTTTTTGAGAAAGAGAGAGTTTAACTGTTGCTAATATTCTACGTATTGGAATAAGAATGTCTGACTATAATATTTGTTTCAATGTTATTGACAATATGTATGAAGTATGTTGCTAATAGGACTCTGATTATTGCAACATGAAAGACTGTGTAAGTGAATGGACTAGTTCGCTGTTCCTTTTCTTCTATGAACATGGAAGTAAATTGAGATCGTTAAGGACGCTAGGATGCCCAATAAAGTTGCTTAAAAAAAAGGGGGGGGAGGAGCTTATTTCTGAAGAAAGGCGTGAAAATTTTCCTATTTAAAAATGGAACAGACTGAATGGACTCACACTTTGATAAAGGCTTTGGCTGAAACGCGTTAGTGTGCAGAGGTGGAATTGCTGAATTTTAACTTTTACTGCTGCTGTCTTTTTTTGCTGCTATACCGAATAAAGGTTTTCATTAAAGATCCTGCATCCTGGATTTTGTAAAGCAAGAAGGAGCAAGCAATTAAGCAGTTGGATTACAACGACCACCTCACTAATCCATTCAATGTTCCTAGTCTGAGCCAGCTTCCATATTAAGTGGCTCATGAATATGTGAGTTTATTCAAGTATTTACTCATACATATATTATTTGTACGTTATTACCCTATGCTTGTTTTTCCCATTGTATGTGAACAACTGCGTACACTTGAGCAGCTCAAGGAAAATATCTGTGCAAAACTTTGAGTGCTAGAGCCGCAAACATTAACTAATGTTATGAATAACACAATCAAAAGAGCCCAAGTTTACGAGGCAGCAAATGGAGGTCACTGAAAACATTTCATCTTCCCAAGTCAAACAAATCTCCATGCATTATGCATTCATTGTATGTAATATCATTGAAATTAGTTAATTGATAAAAACGTTATTGACTCCTCATACTGTTTCACATCAACTTGATCTCCCTACTATGCAATAATCAGTTATAGTGATCTTTGTGAGCCTGATACTTCTCATAGAAAAGCACTTACCTGTAAGAAGCTTTAGCATACCATGCAATAGCTTTGTTGCCTGGAGCATTCCTAATGTCTTAGCCTAGAAAGTACTAATATCAAATAAAAGGCATTTAGTAGACATGGGCAATTTGTTTCGGTCCGAATATGAATTCGGATGAATTTCGGGCAATTCAGACATTCAGGTACTTCTGAATGTCCAAATTGCCGAAGTGTCAAAGTGCCGAAGTTCCGAAGCACAGTATTGCCTAAGTACTAATATACTTACCCAGTGAAAGAAGAAGAATGTTACATTATATACAATTTTAAATAAAAAGTATACAAACATAGTCAGGATTCAGCTGTAAGCATTTGCAACACTTACAACAATCAAGTAACATACATTCATATAAAATGTAAGTTACTTAGCCAGTCAATGCAATGACAGGAATGAATAAGTAGATAACTCCCTAATTCCCACGGTATTAGGGAGCTATCTACTAAAAGGTCCTCCCCCCTGGTACCCATAAGGGGGGTCCTAATGTCCTCCCCGCTACCCCCCACCCCTGAGTGGTGGGTGGGGGCCCAAATACTAATAAGGGGGGGACCTAATGTCCGCCCCCTGGCCCCCACCCCTGAGTGGTGGGTGGGGCTCTAAATTGGAATAAAGGGGCACCTAATGTCCTCCCCCCTGGCCCCCAACCCTGAGCGGTGGGTGTGGGCCCTACAGTAAAATAAGGAGGGGGGACCTAATGTCCTCCCTTCTGGCCCCCACCCCTGAGCGGCGGGTGGGGGCCCTAAATTGGAATAAGGTGAGGGGACCTAATGTCCTCCCCCTGGCCCCCACCACTGAGCGGCGGGTGGGGGCCCTAAATTGGAATAAAGGGGCACCTAATGTCCTCCCCCCTGGCCCCCAACCCTGAGTGGTGGGTGGGGGCCCTACAGTAAAATAAGGAGGGGGGACCTAATGTCCTCCCTTCTGGCCCCCACCCCTGAGCGGCGGGTGGGGGCCCTAAATTGGAATAAAGGGGCACCTAATGTCCTCCCCCCTGGCCCCCATTCCTGAGCGGTGGGTGGGGGCCCTAAATACTAATAAGGGGGGACCTAATGTCCTCCCCCCGGCCCCCACCCCTGAGGGGTGGGTGGGGGCCCTAAATAAAAATGTTACCCCCCACGTGACTAGGGGTCCCCAAACCCCTAGTCACCCCCTCCCTCCTAAAAAAAATAACCCCCTACCTACCCCCTAAAAATAATGACCTTTAACTAAGTACCTGTAAAAAAAAGAAAACTTACCATTCAATGTTTTCTTTCTTCTAAAATCTTCTTTTTCAGCCCCAAAAAAGGCCAAATAAAAATCCATAATTACTGACGCAATTAAAAAAAAAAAAAACGAGCGCAAAAAAAATAAATCTTCATCCGGCGAGGGCTCCACACAGACTGAGCTCTGCAGGGCTGGTGAAGGCTTATAAAGCCTTGCCTCGCCCTGCAATTAGGCTCAGAGCACTCTGATTGGTGGGTTTAAGCCATCCAATCAGAGTGCTCTGACAGGTAAATGAAGAGAATGACAGGTAAGTCTCTACATTTACCTGTCACAGCACTCTGATTGGTTGGCTTGAAATCCACCTATCAGAGTGCTCTGTGTCATTTTACACAGCGTGTAATTTGACTCATAACTCTCTGATTGGTGGATTTTTTTGGGGGGAGGGGGTGACTAGGGACCCCTAGTCACCGGGGGGTAACATTTTTTACAGCCCCCACCCACCGCTCAGGGGTGGGGGCTGGGGGGAGGACAATAGGTCCCCCCTACAGGTATTTAGGGCCCCCACCCACCGCTCAGGGGTGGGGGCAAGGGGGGAGGACCTTAGGTCCCCCCACCTTATTCCAATTTAGGGCCCCCACCCGCCGCTCAAGGGTGGGCCCAGGGGGAGGACATTAGGTCCCCCTTATTAGTATTTAGGGCCCCCACCCACCGCTCAGGGTTGGGGGCCAGGGGGGAGGACATTAGGTCCCCCCATATTTTACTGTAGGGCCCCCACCCACCGCTCAGGGTTGGGGGCCAGGGGGGAGGACATTAGGTGCCCCTTTATTCCAATTTAGAGCCCCACCCACCACTCAGGGGTGGGGGCCAGGGGGCGGACATTAGGTCCCCCCCTTATTAGTATTTGGGCCCCCACCCACCACTCAGGGGTGGGGGGTAGCGGGGAGGACATTAGGACCCCCCTTATTTTACTGTAGGGCCCCCACCCACCTCTCAGGGGTGGGGGCCAGGGGGAGGACATTATGTCCCCCCTTATTAGTATTTAGGGCCCCCATCCACTGCTGAGGGGTGGGGGCCCGGGGGAGGACATTATGTCCCCCCTTATTAGTATTTAGGGCCCCCACCCACTGCTCAGGGGTGGGGGCTAGGGGTGGACATTAGGGTTTGGGCTCTACTTTACTGTAGGGCCCCCACCCACCGCTCAGGGGTAGGGGCCAGTGGGAGGACATTAGGTCCCCTCTTATTAGTGTTTAGTATTAGTATTTAGGCCCCCCACCCGCCGCCTGCGACGTAATTTTTACTTAGTATTAGTAAATTTGGCTGAAAGACCGTGGGAATTAGGGAGTTATCTACTAAGTGGCTGCAAGAGAAGTCCCGAAGTGGCAAAGTCCCGAAATTCCGAAATGCCGATGTTCCGAAATTTCAAAATGCCGAAGTTCTGAAATTCCGAAGTTCCGAAGTGTCGAAGTGCCAAAGTTGCCGAATTTCCGAAGTGTTGAAGTGCCGAAGTTCCGAAATTGCCGACGTTCCGAAGTGTTGAAGTGCCGAATTGAGAAAGTCACGAATTTCGGAATGCCGAACCGAACCGAAAATTTTCCCCATGCACATGCCTAGCATTTAGACAATAGGATTGTCCAACGAATAGGCCTTATCTATAGCACCTCTAAATCCTTACTGTGCACACACCCCAATCTCATTTGGTGTACCTTTCAGCTCTTAATTACATTCAGGTAATTTTATATAATATAAGTCAAATAAATTGAAACTTTAAAAAAATCTAAAATCTTTTAAGAGATCTATGGCATTATACTTCAGCACAGAATGCACATGTCATGGTTGAATATATTTATTACCTGTGATATGTTAAGTTTATATATGTGTGTGTATATATATATAGTTTGTATATTGTATTTTTGTAATATTGTACCCTATTGTAACAATGCAATGTTTTGTGGACACAGGTAATTCTTGAAATTGAGAGAAATCTCAATGTATCCTTCCTGGTAAAATGTTTTATAAATAAATAAATTTAGCTAGTAGAGCATAGCCTACAGTTCTACAAACCAGTTAAATGAAAATCATAAAAACTAAAATAATATAAAACATGGGCGCATATAAAAATACAGTCATAATGGAAAAAAGTATTTTGAGCTTACATTGACTGTGGGTTATATGCCCCTTCATTTTCTAGACATTAGCCTGTGCCAAGATTGACTGATTTTAATAGCCTATCACTGGCAGTCCATTCCGAGTAAAAGTAGGTAGATGAAAAAAAATGCTAAACTTTGGAGTATGGGTATGGTATAGTGCCTTACTAAAGAGATTTAAAAGTATATAGGTGCCTCTTAAATAAGTGAGGTGTACCTCCTTTGGGGAGGAATGTGTCCAATAAGGTGCTTAAAATCAAAAATAAATCATAGCCGCTCAATAACACTTATATGGAAATACCCTCTTATCCACACCTGAAAAAGTCCAAATCTATACGGCAGTATAAGTGCAAACCTCACACCTATAAGTGGAGCGCTGAAAAGATAGCGGGGTACACTTACCCCATATAACTTGATAGCAAGCTTGGTATGTAATACATGTGAAAAAAGGGTAAGTGCCATCTCCATAAATATTGGCACGTAGCTACAACTCCTCATAGCCAGGATACAGGGCTCTGAAAAAGGTGAGCACTTTACTTATTCTCACCACTGCACCATTTGAGAAAGACTGCACATTTGTTCCCTTCTCTCTATGTTTTATCTTTGAGATACATCATATCGTGGACTGAAGGTGTGATGCTGCCTTAAAAGCATACAAGCCTGATTACGGAGCCAGTGTTCACATACAGGCTCCTTTAACCCTGTAAGGACACATGACTTGTGTGACATGTCATGACTCTCTTTTATTCCAGAAGTTTGGTCCTTAAGGGGTTAAATGTGAGTGTTCCACTTCACCGCCATTTTATCTGATTTAATCTTTACATACCATCTGCACAATATTGCCTTTTCTATTTTTTTCTTCATGTATTACATACCAAGCTTGCTATCAAGTTATATAGGGTAAGTGTACCCCGCTATCTTTTCAGCGCTCCACTTATAGGTGTAGGTTTTGCACTTATACCACTGTATAGATTTAGCTGCCTAATAAATGTTTATATAAAGTTTATTTATTTAAGCTTTGAGCTAAATGTAATCATCAGAATCTATCTTTGAAATGTGGATAGTGCATCCTTACTAAACAGATGTTTGAACTATGTATTCATGAATTTGTGTCTATAAAATTGTGACCTGCTAAGCTTATCTTTGAACTATGATAGAAGATCACAACAAAGATTTGATAAAACACACGGAGTACCATACCTACAAACAACAAACAAACTGATTAAGCTAGGTACAGAGGCATCTAAGGGTCAAAAACATATACCACAAAGCTGAAATCACTTAATGGCAGAAATAACTCTGTATTTAAGAACACTGCTGTAAGCCGAGAGCTAATAAATCATCTAAATAAAGCACATACAAAAAACAACAAATAATACAATGGAAAAATTATTTACAAAATAAATAAACATAAATATAAAGTACCACAAATGGTCTAAACTGCAGTGCTGCTAGCAGAGGTAATTATATGGGCACTGCGATGGGCGCAAATATGGCACCATCATATGCCAACCTGGACTTTGATGGACTTTGAAGGCAACTTCCTATACACCCATGAGACATTCCTTACTCACGTGTGCACCTGGTTTCACTACATAGATGACTGCTTCATGGTCTGGAGAGGCACCAAGGGAGACCTGGATGTCTTTTTAGACTATTTGAACCATTGTCACCCTGATATTAAATTTACTTGTAATATTGAGACAAAAGAGGTCAGCTTCCTGATTTGTTTTCCAAACCCATGGATGCAAATAGCCTGTTGAATGCCCACATTTTTTCATCCTGCTAACCAAATCCGTTTCATTCCATACATCCAATTCCACAGGGTAAGGCGTATCGTGAGCGATAAGACATTGGTTGATACTCGTCTATCTCAAATGTCCCAGAGATTTGTGGAGAAGGGTTATGATTGTCGTACAGTACTAGCTGCTAGACACAAAGCACACTCTATGAAACAAAAGGATTTACCTTCCATTACAAACAGACGCAAAACTGACAGAATAGCTTTCGTAAGTACCCATTCTACTTTTTCTCCTCAAATACCTGACATTATACACAAAAACTGGCACATTCTACAATTGGACAGACAGGTAGGGCATCTATTTAAAGAACCACCACTTTTTGCCTACAAGAGACGCCGCACCATAAGGTACTTACCCCTGTCTTTGCTGTAATTATTGCAGCGGAATCATAAAGGGTGAATTCTGTACAGGGCAGCAGATTAAACTGAAAGGTTTCTTTACTTGTCAAACTGACTTTGTGGTCTATCTCCTTAAGTGTCCGTGCGGGTTGGGCTATGTGGGAAAAACCATTTGTGATTTTAAAGAACGTGTCTCTCAACACAAAACCTCAATTCGTAATGCAAATGCAGACACTCCAGTCACATATCACTTTCGGGAGATGAGACACAATGTATCACAGCTCTGGTACCAGATTCTTGAGAGGGTTGAACTACCCCCTAGGGGTGGTGATAGAGAAAGGAGATTATTGCAGAGGGAAGTTTGCTAGATGAACACAGTGTCCCCTCATGGTCTTAAAGAAACTTGATTGGCACTGGTTCCTTTAGATTTTCCATATGGAAGGTGAGTCTTTTTTGAATGATATATTTTTGAATTATATATTTTTGAATTATATCTTTATGCATACTAGTGTCTTTGTATGACTATGTTCTATGTACTTTTTTGGATTAAACCTTCTCTTTATTCCTGCCAGATATTCCTCTCCTTATGGATGGGATCTCTAGGTCCTCCTTCTTATTCCCTCCTCTTTGCAGGGGTTTGAGGGACCTTGTAGATTTTTGTATATATTTTGTATTTATATTTACACTCTAACACTTGGTTTGATGTAAGTGTTAGATTTGTGGAATAGAAGCTCTCATCTGGGTGTTCTTCTATGATGTGTCTGGTTGCATAAAGCCCCTTATAATTACCTCTGCTAGCAGCACTGCAGCTTAGACCATTTTTGGCACTTTATTTATTTTGTAAATCATTTTTTCCATTGTATTATATGTTGTTTTTTTATGTGCTTTATTTAGATGATTTAATAGCGCTCAGCTTACAGGAGTGTTCTCAAATACAGAGTTATTTCTACCATTAAGTAATTTCAGCTTTATGGTATATGTTTTTTGGCCCTTAGAGGCCTCTGTACCTAGCTTACTCAGTCTGTTTGCTACTAGTTTTGGTTTTGTTTATCTCCTAGCAATCGGACAGAGCGTCATGTGATCCAGCATCCAAGATGGTGGAGGGTTGTCGGGAGGGGCTGCTTTACTTAATTATGCAAGGGAGCTGCTGAGAATTATGGTCTGTACTGTCTATTTGGGTCATGTATTTAATGGTGAGTGCATTCTGTTTTTGTAAGCGCATGCATTGATAAAGGTGATAATCCGTAACGTTTGTATCTTATGTCCTTGAAAAAAAATCTTTTTGTAGCACTTGTAGCACATTTGCAATTGTTGGCGCTGCCCTAATTTTTTCTATTCATATCTATAATAGGACTTGTACCTCTTAACACCTATGATGTTGCTAGAAGTCAGCTGTAATTTAAAAAATGATATATAAAATAATGTATATGATTAATATATCAGGATGAACTATAAAAAAGCAACCAGTTTTTATTTGTACCTTAACAACACATATACATGTGTTTTGTTTTATTTGCATAGGATATCTATTTAATCAGTGTTTCCTATTAATTATATTTGATAACAAATATTTTAGGAAATAATAAGATATCTAAGCATGGTATTTACTGCATATGTCAATGCTGTAACAATATAGGTGCATAACATACATTTTCTATTCAGAATTACATTTGAAAAATTCAAGATACAAAAATAGACTATACTATTAAATATAGTCTAATTTCATGGAAAGATGAGAAAAAGCTTTCTTAAATAGATCACATATTTCATAGGCTTCTCTGCACCTATAACCATTGAGAAAACTTTGCACACAGACAACATTATAACAAAGAGATTTCTTTAATTGACTAAAGGAAAAAAAAGCTATAAAGATATTGGATCTAAGCCCAGAAGGAAATGGATATGGTTTCCTGGAATTACAAACACAGATACAGTTGCCAGATTCAAAAATATGGAGATACTTAAGACTTAAACATTTCCTAACAATTCCCCTGATCAGCAGTAAAACAGCAAGATATTTGACAGTGTTTGAAGAACTTCTTAACCCATTCAATGTACAAATAGGTAACTGGGGCACATTTAAAAACCATATAACTAAAGAACTAAACCACACATTTAATATCTCTTAAGAAAAGTGGAAATAAGTTTGGAAAAAAGGGAGAACATCATCTAATTTTGTGATCTCACTTAGTGCTCCCAAAATAATTTTAAAAATTGTATCTTGGGGGACGGAGCCTGGCCATCTGGCAGAGAGTCATGTTTTTCACGAGCTCCTGCACAATCCAAGCAATAACCACAAATTACAGCCTTATTCTGCAAGACAAGCAGAGATTCCGACTACCCACTTGCCCCCCACACCGGAGGGAATGCAGTGGGGCAAAATGTGACACGATCAAGGCCCGCAGATACAGCGCTTGAGGTTGCGGACGCTATCCCGACCTGGAGATGCTCTGAAGCTGGCTACAGCACAAGCAAGCCCGTTACTCCCACCTCGGACCGGGAGGGGTGATCCCGGACCACTCAAGCGAGCTACCCCAAGCAACTGGAGACTCAACCTAGATGGCGGACACAGCATTTGTTGAAGGTCCCAATAACACTACCCACAATATCCTAAAACTACGGAACAAACGCTTCAATGCATTCTGGAGGAAGCTAGAGCACAAACTATACCAATCTGCCTCACAACAGGACCAGTGTAATGGCTGCCAACCTGCAACCACCATTACCCGAGCAGGACGCCAACGGCAACGGAGAACTCAGCAGAGGGTCAGGCAGCACAAGAAGTGCAGTCTATCCACTCCTGGAACAAATTAATGCCTGCCAAAATGAGACATTGGTGGGCCACTGCTGATTACGAGATGGAGACCGCAGACAGCGCCTGAGAATGGGACGTCAGTGAGGAAGAAATCAAGTCCTAAAATGTCAAATGCCCGCTACTGCCTTCCTTGGCTGAGGGCCCAGAGGGGAATCACCCTGATGTCTACCCCACATCCTCAGAAGGTGCAACACCACCTCACAACTTCCTGAGACCTTGCTAGAGAGTTGAGAGCGTCCGGAGCGGTGGGACCTACAAATGGACCCTTGAGAAGGCCAGAGGCCGGTGGAGTGGCCAAAATTGGACTAACAGAATACTGTCTCCATCTGCCACTAAGCTGGTCAGCATGGGCATAGGGTAACAACCTGTGGCATCAGGGCAGGAGGGACATGCTCATACCACAGCTAATTATAACGGCTTCCCCCTACACTAATCTTCCCACTAGGGAGCAGTAATCAGGGTCCTTACCACTCGGATATTACAACTACTTTGCAATTACATGGTTCATCCTAAGTGTGTTTTATAGCATGATCCAGGTCCAGTTTTCCTACTACCTTACTGTGTTTTATAGCATGATCCATGCTCAGTTTTCATTGACACCAGTACCACAGTCATGTGTGTTTGCTAATATTGTATCCCTGTTTCCTTATGCCTCGCAGGAAGTTTAAACAATTGAGATAGCTTGCTATATTACTACCCTACTCTTATTTCTGCAGTGAATGCGATAACACACTATTCATGAGTTATGATTATTTTAGCCTGATACATAGCCTGATCTAGCACTGCATGCCTATTGTAAGAAATAAGTGTAACCTAGTAATGTCTGCAGGGATAATGTATATCCTGTTTTCATACCTTATATTTAAAAAAAAAAAAAAGAAAAAAGTGATGTGACATATTTGACAAACCATATACTTTCTTGAATATTCTTATGCCATATAAACTCATGTGGTAATGTCCACTAAAGCTGGTCTGACTTTCAATGTACTGCAAAAAAAAAAAAGAATGTAAAAAAAATTAATTGTACCTCATTTATCTACATTATTATTATTTATAAACCACCAACACATCTTGTAGGTGGACTAACAGACAAGTAATTGCAACAGACAGAAAGGGTGATGAGGGCCCTGCTCAAACAGGCTTGCATTATAGAGGGAGTGTGGTAAAGTGGCACAAGAGATAAGGCTGCAATGTATTTCATGTGTGAGAAAAAGTAGGTTACTAGAATATTTTACAATGAAGGTTTAGTTTTTTTGGATGGCACAGTTGCAGGAGAGGAAGCAGTGTGACTTACCAAGGTGTGGGGAGGGAAAGATATAAACAGTTTAATTGATATGCTTTCCTAAAGAAGTGAGTTTTAATGATCTTTTGAAGAACTGAGTCTGGGAAGAGAGTTCCATAGGAACAGTGCCGCCATAGAGTAGTCTTGCAGATGGGCGTCAGAGGTGTGAGTATGAACAGAGAATAGATGCAGACCTTGAACAGAGTGTAGGGGCCTGTATGGGACATACTAGAGTATTAATGAGGATAGGTAGCAAGGAGTAGTGTTATATAGAGATTTGTAAGCAAGCACCAGAATTTTAAATTGAGCCCTAAATCATATGGGAAGGCAGTGTAAGGAAGGACAGAGCAGAGTTGCATGGGAGGTGCAGGTAGACAGGAAGATGAGCTTCACCGTCACATTGATTATAGACTGTAAAGGGGCCAAATGAGATATAACATGTAATGTAGACTCCAGCAGTCTGTATTGACTTGATAATTCCCAATTAGGATCCAGTTTACAAACATGCCGGATGTAGCCTTAATTTCTTCACACCTATTTGTAAAAAAAAAGCTATATTAATACTATATTCAGTTTTTCAACACTATGTTAATACTTTCCTTCAAAGAGTGTGTAGGCCTCTGCCAAAATATATTTTGCATTGCAAAGCTAAATGTATTTTAACCTATAATGGTCTACTTATCTTCCTGTTTGTTCTAGCACTGGGTTTTTACCCAGGAAAGGAAAACTATTATTCCTAGTTCTCCATTGATGTGTTAAGGTGCTCCTAAAAATGTGTATGGTTTGCATGAAATAGGTTGAGGACATATGCAACATTTCCTAAATATGTGTTGCCTTTCTGGCTGCTGACTAACATTACTTTGTCTTTTTAACTTTCAAAGTTCTCTCTGCATTTCATATAATGACAGTGCAGATGGCACCATCATTATGTTCCTGGTGTATTATTTTGATAATTTGTGTTCAAAGGAAGATTACTAAACAGCACTTTACACACATGTGATAGGTGATAAAAGCTAAGGAGCAACACTTCAGGGGAATTTTACTATATCATTTTTTTGCTACTATCTAGGACATTTTAGTCACAAATTCAAATGACTCCATAAGTAGATGGGGTGCCTCAGATTGTGTAATTTGAGCACTGTAATGGTAATAAGTTTATTTTAAAGCTCCTAATATCTGACACGTTACTTACCTGATTGACGACACAGTTTTGGGCTTCCTATCAGAATGTGTGTGTCAAATGCACTGTTCAGTTAGTGGCTTGCTTTCATATAGCACTTTGGACACTGTCCGCTCAAATGGCGCGTCCTTAAGTGTCAAACATTTGCAAAACATAATTTCTCAT